ATTGATTTGGTGATATATGCTCTGGCACTTTGTTAAAAAACTAATAGTATTGCCTTTGTTCATGCTTCCTCGCTGTTTAGTTAGTATTTTGGTCATCTTTCATATTAATTTGCATTGTTCCTTAAGATAAAGGATGGTATTTGTCTTTTATGCCACTATGAATTTAGAATGCCATGTATTTTGTGGACACTAAGGACATGCTTATTTAATGATTAAATGACAATCAAATTTTATGTTTATCAAGTCCCTCCAGGACACAACATACTGTGCTTGGGATCTTACACATTTTGTGGACACCCATTCATGTGGCAAGATTGCTAGGGTAATTATCCCAAATTCTAGGATGTACCAGGATGTTCTTAGCAATAGGGTTTGGCTAGAAGGGTCTCATGAGGATCAGTCATGAAACTTTGCTATTGTAGAAACCTCGGAGATACTCAAAGGCTAACTTTACTAGTGTTTTTGACCAAGTAGATTGAATCAAGAGTGCAAAGCATAGTAAGTCAGAGCCCTTCAACTTTATAGGAATAAGATAAAGTGATATTCAGTGTTCCTGCCGTTGACATATATTTGCATGATGTTGTGCTTCAGAGTGAGAGCAACCCAGGGAGTGAAGAAGAGAAGTGTATAATTGTATCTATGCTTAAGCCAGAAAAATGAAGTTGGGAGTCAGGTAGCGTGAGCATGAGTGGAAGATGTTCCTGAGTTGTGTTAATAACTGAAAAAACTAGGTGAATAGATAGTAGACTTGGGAGCATAACTTATTTGTGCCAGAGGTCTTCCCTTGGCAACAGTGAGGGATAGGAGAATGAAAGCAGTGGAAGGACCCTGTGCTGTAAACATCCAGAAAATAGGTGACCGATTCAGGATTCTTTTCTTTCAAACAATAAACAATCCAGCCTCCTTTAGCAAAAAAAAAAGCAAATGTATTGACTCACATAACTGCTAAGGCTGGGGTTCAGCTCCATGCAGGGGTGCCAATGTTGCCAGCAGAATCAGATTCTCTTCATCTCTAACTTGGTTCTGTTTTTCTGACTGTATTCATTGTCCTTTCATGGGCACCAGAGAGTTGTTTTCTGCCTTGTTATCACGGGGAGGAAAAGGAAGGGACATTTCTCCCAAGGACAGTCAGATAGCCTGCTCACTCTCATCTCTGGATCATCTCAGCGTGTCTATGACTACACGCTCCATGACCAGCAGGTCTCAGGGTGTGGTCCTAAGACCACCAGCATCAGCATCACCTGGGGACTTGGAAGGCAGGAAATACTTGGGCCCCACCCCAGACCTACAAAATCAGAAAATCTAGGGATGGGACACTATGTGTGCTTTCCCAAACCCGGGAATGTCTGGTGCAGATTAAAGTTTGAGGACCCTTGGCTTGGAGAAACTGACTCCTTACATGAAAAGGAGGCCTCATCTTCACAGCAATAATGGCAGTTTAGCCAGAGGTCAAGTTAGATGAACTTCTAGAATCTATCAAATGCCAGAAAAAGAGAAGAAAAATAACTGTGAGAGAGATTGCTGTATGCTGTCTGAACATGGCTGTTTTGACCCTGAAAAAATGCAAATGCATTTTTGTTCCGTTAGCACATACTCTGCAGTCCAGTAATAATGCATTGTAAACAGACCATATTAAAACAAACAGTTCTCTCTAGATCTTTTTTTTTTCAATATTTTCTCTAAATAGTTATTTGGTAATACACATTTTTCTGTTTTGTAGAGTCCCTAAATAGCAGAGGTCTCTGTTTGGAGGAGCCAACTCATGTCTCCTAGTGCCAGAATGTTCGTGGAGTTTTCACTTTACTAAATAAAGAGCTGGAGCTAATGTCAGCCCTGTGGTGGTACTGGGTCCTCGACCCAGGAGGAAAAATAAGGAACTAACAGTTCTCTTCCCCTCCTCAAACCAGAGCTGGTCTTGGACCAAACGGCACCGAAGAGGAGTCACAGTCTCTGGTTTTCTGTGTCTTTCCTTCCGCCCGTTAATCTTCGTGATGCCCTCATCGATGCATTTTGGATATTTGACCCACACTTTTAAAATCAGGTGATGTTGCATTTCTCCTCACCCCCACACCTTACGAAATCCTCTAACGTAAAAAGATTGCTAGTGTAACACTTACCTGGAAGGGTTAACACTGGAAAAAGGGTCAGAAATGAACAATTTTTTGATGTCGACTGTTATTACTTGAAGTCACAGATTGGTCACTTCAATGATTTGATCTTCAGATTCATCCATACAGTAGCTTCCACAGTGGCCCCGTGGACCTCTTAGCTTTCTTTGTCGTGGAAGAGGGACCACAGGCTCCTTGATGGCCCATGGCTTTTGCTTTCTAAGACTTGTGGATTTGTGGTCTTGGAGATAGAAGGGACTTTGGCCATTGATCATTTATTTGCTGGTGTTGTCTTAGGCAGGCTATGTTTAAATGCTGTGTAACACTTAGGGTCCCAGTGTGAAGAGGGAGGCCCTCCCTTGTGCATAGTTTGGAGGGCCCGTGTTACCTACCCCTGCCTCAGAGCGCCTCTCGGGGGAATGCTCTGCCACTGGAGCTGTCCCAGCTCCTCCACTCCTGCCAGCTGGGAGCAATACTCTGCAAGAGTTAGTTCAGCATGTGGCATGTGGGCTCAGGATGTCTCCTGATCGATAGATACTCAGATCTCCGCCAGATTGCCTGCTGACTGTGCTCCTTGGGCAGGTAACTTAACCTCTCTGGTCTCATTGTAAAATGAGGATCATAATAACACAAAGAGGTGGTAGTGAGTGTAAAAGGAATGAATAGGCGTAAACTGCTTAGCCTCGTGCCTGGTGCGTGCTGAGCACTCACTATAAGCATGAGCTATTGTCTGTACTTCTGCAGTGGTGCTTCTCTCACTCTGCCTCACATCCTGAATTAGGAATATGACTCACACTCCCCTACTGGATGGAAAGGGTCATCTCAAGGGCAGGGGCCGTATCTACTCATCCTTTAGGATCATCCTTTAGTAGCTAAACCTCAGTGTAGTATCTTGAGCTTACTAGGAGTTCAAGAAATGTGTTTTGAGTTAAGTTGAAGCCCCCCGGCCCCCACCCAGAGCATATTTGGCAAACTCCAGAAAAACAAGCCTCCCCTGCTCCTTTCTTTCACCTAAAAGTGAAGTTCTCCAACTTAATCTGCCGACAGATCCCTGCCAGGATTCTGATTCTCTAGATTCCTTTCGCAGAATCATTCTCACCACCAAAGATGCCTGCTGCTCCCATGACTTCTCCCCCTTCCCCTCCGGTCTCCTTGGGGTCCCACAGCCAAAGCTCGCACCCCATTAAAAAATAAAATGCCAGCCAGTCCCTCATCTAGGTCATCCAATAAGATGTTCCCTCCACACTGCCCATATAACTATTTAACCTAATGGGGGCATGTCAGGCCCTCCATAAGACAGTGCCAGGATAGACAAAGAGCTTTTGAGTTCTTTGTGTTGTGTAAGCGGCACAGTCACCTTCTTTTGTCTCTTTTTAAGACTCTCTAACCCCATCCAAGCTTTGGAACTCACTTTCTCCAAGAGTAGCCAAAGAACAAGCAGGAGAATGAACAAAGTATGTAACTGCTCCCCGCCCCCACCACCCAAGATCTATCAGATCCTGTGTGGTCCAGATCCCTGGCAGTGCTCTTTCCAGTGGCGTTGGTCAGGGACCTGCCTGCCAGGGCAGGAGAGCAGGAGTACATTAGAGACAGAGCAGTGTACTGTGGAAAGGCATGCAGTGAAAGCTCAGACATCCATCAGGTGACCACTTTCATTTGTAAATGCTCATTTCCCCTTCCCTACTGTTGGTCTGAGGAACAGCAGAATAGGTCTGAGCGGTGGGAGGTGCATTCTTTTCCTAGGGCTGCCCTCAAAAGACCCACCAACCTGGGTGGTTTAAAGCAACAAAAATCCATTCTCTCACAGTTCTGGAGACCAGAAATCCGAAGTCGAGATGTCTGCAGAGCCATGCTCTCTCCAAGGCTCCAGGGGAGAATCTTCCCTTCTTTGTCTTAGCTTCTGATGTCACTAGCAATCCATGGCATACCTTGGCTTGTAGACGCATCCCTTCCTTCTCTGCAACACCACCACATGGCGTTCTCTCCCTGTGTCTTCACATAGTCTTATAAGGACACCAGTCACATCGGATCAGGGGCCTATCATCTTTCAGCATGACAGCATCTTAACTAATAACATCTATAACAACTCTGTTTCCAAATAATGCTGCATTCTGAAATATTGAAGGTTAGGACTTCAACATATCTCTTTTTGGGGAAACATAATTCAACCCATTACATAAGGGGAGATGTTTTGATGTAGCTGCACAATAGGTGTTTTCATATTAGTTCAGATTGGACTTTTAATATCTAAAAATGAGGCTGTTCTGTTAAACCTGGAGGAGTCTGTTGGTCCCACGAATCGGTTATTCAAGGCGGGAGGATGTAAGATACGGAGCAGGTTTGGAGGTATCAGTGGAGGCAGTATTAACTTCCTGCAGCTACACCAAATCCGGTCCACATCCCAAACTAGACCCATCCCTATTCAAGCTTCTACTTTCAAAGATAAGGAAACTCAGGCCCATAGAAGCATAGAACCTTCCCACAGTTGGATTGAAAGTCCTCTCTGTTAGGTGATCTGTAGACCACTTTGTTCTCACCTTCATACTTGGAGAGAAACCATCTTTCCAGGTTTCCATTTCTGGCAGGAGCTGGCTTTCAGTCAGAGGTCAAGACTGGTACAAAAAGGCAACAATTCATTTGAAACTAAAGTCTCATGGAATTGAGAGGTCCAGCAGTAGAGGGAAGTAGAGTCAGGTGTGCTTGGGTGAAGGGTTCCAGCTATATCATCAGGAGCCAGCCTTTCTCCAGCTGTTCACTCAACTGTCCCTGCCCAACCTCACTGGCTTCATTTTAAATCACTGCTACCATTTCCTCCCCAAAGGTGACGGAACCACTGTCCTGACTTCTGCCACCGTTGATTGGTTTTGCCCAGCTTTAAGTTTATATGAATATGTGCTGCCTTTGGCAGCACCTATACTAAAATTGGAAAGACGCAGAGAAGATTAGCATGGTCCCCGCACAAGGATGACATGCAAATTCATGAAGTTCATATGAAATCATGCCATATATATTTAATGTCTACTACTTTTGCCTACATTATGTTTGCAGGAGTCATCCATTTTGCTACACATATTTGCAGTTCATTCGTTTTCCAGGCTATTTGTCTACGGTATAAACATATCACAACCCAGTGCATTTGTCTCTTTTGCAATAGATGAACACTTTCTGTTTTTTAAATTTTATTTTTAATTTTATTTATTTAAATTCCAACATTTTCTATTTTTTAAAGATTTGTGTATTTTTTTTGGGGGGGGGATAAAGGGAGAGGGAGAAAAAAAATCTCAAGCAGACTCTCTGCTGAGCAGGGAGCCCAGTGTGAGGCTCAATCTCACCACCCTGAGATTTCTGTTTTTAACTATGACTGCCAGAAAATTTTTTATACATTTTTTGGGGGGCAGGCACATAAACACATGTATCCTAGGAGGAGATTTGCTAGGTAAGAAGATTTGCATGTTTTCAGTGTTAGGAGGTAATGTAAAAGTTCTTATGTCATTGCATGAATTTATGCTCACCGCAACTGTATACGAGACTTCCGTTTGTTTCAGTGTCAGTCTTTCCAGTGTCACTACTGTGGTGGTGCGTGGTGATTCCTTACCATGATGTAATTTGATTTTCCCTGAAGATGAACGAACGGACTTCTGATATATTTATTGGCCATTTAAATACCCTACTTTGTAAAGAAACTGTTTAAAAGTAATTAATTGGTGGGCAGCCCTGGTGGCTCAGCAGTTTAGCGTTGCCTTCAGCCCAGGGCGTGATCCTGGAGACCTAGGATCGAGTCTCACGTCAGGCTCCCTGCAAGGAGCCTGCTTCTCCCTCCATCTGTGTCTCTGCCTCTCTCTCACTCTCTCTCTCTCTCTGTCTCTCATGCATAAATAAATAAAATCTTTTAAAAAAGTAATTAATTGGTTAATTAATTAACTAGTTAATTAGAGAGTGGGTGCACAGGGAGAGGCAGAGAACCCCATGCATTCAGCATGGAGTCTCAAGACCCATGAGATCACAACTGAGTCAAAATCAAGAGTCAGACATTTAAGTGACAAAGCCGCCAAGGTGCCCCACCTGTTTAAATCTTTTGGCCATTTTTGGAGGTCATTTATGTTTTTCTTATTGATTTGAAGGTTTTTACAAAAATATGTGTTCTGGACAAATCTTTTGTGGGGTATATGCATACAAATATTTTCTTCCACTCTCCATGTGCCGTTTTACTCTCTTAAAATACCTAACAATGAACAGAAATTCTTAATTTTAATGTAATCCAATTTATGATTATTTTCTTTTGGAGTTAAGATTTTTGCATTTGGTTGAAGTAATGTGAAGCACTAATGCTCTTACTATTCATATTTAGACCTATGATCCATCTCTAATATATTTTTATGCTTGGTATGAGATAGAGGTTAATGATGCATTTTTTCTTATTGATATCCTATTGACTCAGCGCATGTTTAATAAGAAGATTACCCTTTCTCTACTCCTATGAAGTGTGATACTTCTGTCATAAATCAAGTTTTTTTCTCTCTATGTGCATGATGTATCTGTGTGTATTTCTTTTATTCCATTGTACTATCTGTCCTTATGCCTGTACCATACTCTTGTACTTATTGCAGCTTTACAGCACACATTGACATCTGGTGGTATAAATCGTCCAACCCTGTTCTTTTTCCTCAAGACTGTTTTGGCCTTTAACATTAGAATCACCTTGTTCATGTCACCCACACCTGCTGGTATATTGCATATTGAATCTTTAGCTCAGTCTGGAGAGAATATACTTATTTGTCATGTTAATTTTAAACATTTAAATCCGTGAATATCGTATATCCCTCTATCTTACTACTTAGACTGTCTTTAATTTCTCTCAGTGATATTTTGTACTTTTCTGAGTAGCTTTTTACATTTCTATTTGGTTTATTTGCAGGTGTTTGATATTTTTTTGGTGCTGTTATGATACATACCTTTTAATTTTCTAATTTTCACTGCTAGTGAATAGAAATACAATGTGCTTTTGTGTATTGAATTTATATCTAGTGACCTTGATGATCTAAGTCATCTAAGTTTGTTTACTAGGTTTTTAAAAAAGATTTTACGTATTTATTCATGAGAGACACAGAGAGAGGCAGAGACATAGGCAGAGAGAGAAGCAGGCTCCTTGTGGGGAGACCGATGTGGGACTTGATCCCAGGACCCTGGGATCACAACCTGAGGGGAAGGCAGACACGTAACCACTGAGCCACACAGTCATCCATCCCATTGTTTACTGATTTTAATGACATATCTGTAGGTTCTTTTGGATCTCTTATACACACAGACAGCCCTGCTGTCTGTGAATAATATTTCTTTTGTTGTGCTAGCTAGGATCTTTAGTACAATGTTTAAGAGAAATGGCCAGAGAGGACATCATTGCTTTCTTCCTGATATGAAGGGAAAACCTTTAAGCATTTTGTCATTAAGTATTATGTTTGATGTAGTTTCTCTTATAGATATCTTTCGGCATACTAAGAAAATTGTGTTCTATTTCCAGTGTACCACATTTTATCATCCTTGGATATTGAGACTTATCACATGATTTTTCTATATCTTTTTATTTTTTTATTTTTTTATTTAAATTCAATTTGCCAAAATATTTTTCTGTTATCTTTTTAGTTGATCAAATGATTTTTTAAAATTCCATTGATTGACTTTGAAATGTTAAACTGACTCATTTAAGAGTCGGAATATGACCCATTTTGCTGTGGTGTACTATTTTTATATTGCTGAATTTGAGTTGCTACCCTTTTGTTTAGAACTTTTGCAACTTTGCTCATGAGAGATCTTGGCCTATGATTTCCTTACTTGTAGTTTCCTTGCCAGGTTTTTTGGTAATAAGATTATACTGGCCTCATAAAATCAGTTGGGAAGTGTTCCCTTTTTTGTTCTAGTCTCTAGAAACTTTGTTTAAAATTGTTAATTTCTTCCTTTAAACGTTCGGTGGATCTTGACAATGAAGCTCTCAGGAGACTGGAGTTTTCTTTATGGAGAGGTTTTAAATTATGGATTCAATTTCTTTAATAGATATAAGATTATTTAGATTTTCTGTTTCTTCTTATGCCAGTTTGTAAATTGTTTTTTCTAGGAATGTGCCTTGTCTGAAATTTCAGGTGTATTTACACATAATTGTTCAAAAATATTCACTTACCATTCCTTGATTATTTGTAGGATCTCTAGGACCCCCCTTTTGAGGTCTGGTATTGGAAAATTCATACCTTCTCTACTCTTGATCAGTTGTGTTTGCTATATTGCTTCTTTGTCTGTTGTTTTCATCTTTTCAAAGGAACAGCTTTTGACTTTATTTTATTATGTTTGTTTTCTATTTAATCAGTTTTTTTAATCCTAGACACATTTTTCTTTCTATCTTTCTTGAGTTTAATATACTTTCTTATCCCTATATACTTTTTTAAAATTTTATTTTTATTTTTTTAGTAGGCTCCATGCCCAATGTGCAGCTCAGATTCATGACTAGGAGATCAAAAGTTGTGTGCTCTACCAACTGAGTCAGCCAGGCTCCTATCCCTATGTTCTTGAGATGGTGACATAAGTCACTGGTTTTCAGCCCTTTTCTCTTCTGATCTATGTCTTCAAAGCTATGGTTCCCAGCAAGGACTACTCTAGCAGTAGCCTATTCTTGACATACTGTTTCCTTATAATCTTCTACTACGTGTATTTCCTAATTTCTATTCCTATTTCTTCTTGATTCATTAATTATTTATAATAGTATTGCTTAATTTCCAAGACTTTGAGGTATTGTTCTGTATCTCTATATTGATTTCTAATGTGATTCCACTGAACTGAGAGCACATATACTGCATGGCTTCAGGTTTCTGGAATTCATTGGAACTTCTTTTATGGGCTAGCAGATCACATACAGGTTAACTTTACAATACTCTGTGAGAACTTGGAAAACTACGCATTCTGAGGTTGTTGAATTCAGTGTTTTATAAATGTCAATAAGTCAAGCTTGTTCAAATTTCCTGTATTTTAACTTCTTAAATCTGTTTAATCAGTTACCGAAGGAGGTGTATTTAAATGTCCCATTGATTGTGCATTTGTTATTTTTCCTTTGTTTTCTATTTGTGGTCATATCAGCATTTTTATTCCATTTTTCTCCTTTATCAATTATTAATTATATATTATGTATAATAATTATTATATATATTTACTCTTTCTTTATTGTTTACACTTAGTGACAAAAGCATACTTCCTTGATGTATAAGTGTATTAAAAAATAGATTCTTTCACTGCTTTCTTCACAAGATTCCTCCCCCCTCTTATGTTGTTTTCATGTATTGTAATTTACACACATTTAAAACTCCAGAAGGATTTGTTACTGTTGTATCATACAGCAGATATTAATTTAGATTTACCCAGATATATGTATATACATACTCTTTCTGTTGGTCTTCATTCCTACCTGCTTTCTGGGATTAGTTGCCTTTTGTCCTGAAGAACTTCCTTCAGTATTTCTTTTAAAACAGTCCCATTGGTGACAGATGATTGTAACATTCTTCATCTCATCTTTGGTGTTTGGGGGTAAGAATATTTTCACAGGGTAATCTGTTGGCTTGGCAGTTATTTTCCTTCGGCACTTAAAGGATGATATTTGTTGGGAAAGCCAGTCCTGTGTTCTCACGTTGCCATCCCGGCTGTCGAGCTGTGTCAGGGTAGGCCTGCGGCTTGGAATCCTTCCTTTCCAAGAGATAAAGAGCCCACGCAGCCTGTGCTGGGCTTCTTGCCTTGTGTGGGGCTGTATTTTTCTCCATTTTATTCTCAAGGGGTGCCCCTTCACTCTGCTTAAGGCACGTGTATCATATGGCACCTCACCAACTCCAGTGTACATCTCTTCTCCTTAGGGAGGGACAGAGCTCTCTCCCCTGTGGCACGAGGGCAGCGTGTGGAAACAGTGTCCCATGTCACCTGTTGGAAGAAACCTGCTGGCCATCGGGCACTGATAACTGCTTTTGAATCT